CCCCAAAACCCCAAAACCCCAAAACCCCAAAACCCCTTTTCACATCAAAATAATTGAATTTTACTTGGAAAGGATTTAATCCATCAAAACAAAGTTATAGTAATCCTTAACTCCTTAGCTTAAACAAGCCCTGGAAGGATATGAGAGAGAGCTCCCAAGAACTTCTTCGTGAAAGGCAAATCAATTGTCTCATTAGGAGCATGAGCATTGGTATCTGGCCCAAGGACTCCTAAAGCAAGGATCTCTGTTGAAGGATATTTGTCTCCTAATACTTTCAGGAATGGGATAGATCCTCCAATACCATATTTACCACATGGCTTGGTAAAGAATGCATCAGAAGCATCATTAAGAACTTTAGTGGTCTTCTCGCTCAGATCCTTCATCTGCCATCCGTCTCCAGTTGATGGCTCAAGTAGTTCAACCTTAGCATCGTTTGGGACATCCTTTGTGATTACATCTTTAACTTTTTCAAGTGCTTCTGTGCTTTCTACACCAGGTGGAAGTCTAATGGATACTCTCAGAGTAGTTGAATCTCTGACAACGTTTCCTGCTTTAGATGTTGGTGGGAGGTTATCAGCTCCAGTGATAGCCAAAGCTGGTCTCCAGGTGGTGTTAAGATACAGCTCAGCAAGGTCATCTTCGTTGATTGCCTTGACACCAGCCAAGAACTTGAAACCTTTAACAGTATCTTCACCTGAAATGGAAGATACATGTTTAGCTTCTTCTTTATATGAGTCTGGGATTTCTCTTTCAAGAAGTTCGATTCTTCTAGTTTCTGGGTCCTCAATTCTATCCAACAATGAGTTAGCAATTCTGAATGACTCTGGGATAGCTCCTCCGCTGATACCACTATGGCATGCAAGTTCGGTGACGCTAACCCTCAAGTTAAAAGCTACCAAACCTCTGAGAGTTGAAGTTAGCCACAATGAAGTATAGTCAAGAGCTCCTGAATCCAAACAGATGCAATAGTCTGGGGTGCCAATGATGTCTGCTGATGCCTCAAGCAGTGGCACAAGGTCATGAGATCCACTTTCTTCTTCAGTTTCAAGCACCAAGACAATCCTGGGGAGTTCGGCTCCCTGAGCAATTGCGTTCTTGATTGCAAGCAACACTGCGAATGGCACATATCCATCATCTGAAGATCCTCTGCCGTAGAGCTTGTCTCCAATTATGGTGGGGGTGGTAGGCCCAGTGCCTTCGATCCAGCCTTCCATATGTGGCTGCTTGTCAAGATGGCCGTAGATCATGACGTTTGATGAGCTTGCTCCTGGGAGTTCGAACAAGACCATTGGGACTCTGCCTTCTTCTCTCTTGATGTGGGTCTTGAGGCCTTCGATTTGCAAATCTTCAGCAAATTTGACAACATAGTCGATAGCTTGCTCAAGAAGCCCATTGGTCATGTACTCAGGGTCAAATGCAGGAGTCAGATTTGGAATCTTGATGTATTCACTAAGATGGTGGACGAAAACACCATCATAATTTTCCTCCAAGAATTTGTTAGTTTTTTCTGTATCCATTTGGTATAATATATATTATTACTATTGGACACGAGGAAAAGGGGTTTTGGGGTTTTGGGGTTTTGGGG